TTTTTAACGATTGGTAACTAAGGGGTGCAAGGCTGCAGTAAAGGTTAAGAACCACTGATTTCAGTAATCTATGACTCCTAACCTATCATAGGTTCAGTTACGCGGCTAATCGGACAACACGGAAACAGTTGGGGGAAAATAAGGTCCCACCGCTGGACGGGACGTGATAGGCGGGGCTTGGTGATGCCGGTGGGTGCATTTTCTAGGGGGTTTCCTGCCTTCAGGAGGCAGCATGTGGGAGTGCCCGTTGTTCTTAAAGAGGCCTGAGTAATCGACCACGAGAAAAGTAGCCGATTACTGTACAAGTTTTATTTGAATACAGGCAGTCCCCGAGATAGAACGTCCAACTTACAAAACATCTGCACTTAGGAACGAACCGCAGTATGATTTACAGGTATCTCTGCTGCCGATAGCCCAGCTTCTGTAGGCGAGTCCCCACTACCTTGCGCTCAATTTTTTTATTTTATTTTATTCAGGTAAGGCCCACTGAGCCATTAAGCTCTTTTTTTTTAGAAGCGACCTGGCCACAAAATGATAGCGCGATGGAGTGGATTATCTCCTGCGGCAATGTCCAGCAGCCAAACACTTCGCCAAGTCACCTGCAAGCGACAGGGCTGGGCACGCCGCCGTAGAATGAGAAGACGACGCGCGGCGCGTGGAAGTGGAGCGGGTTGTGCTGCGCGGCGCGCAGGAAGAGGTGCGCCTGCTCGCTCACGCAGCGCACGCCGTGCGGGCACCGGCCGGCCCACGCCGCCAGAAGGGAGTCCGCCTTGCGGCCCACGGCCTTCACCCACGCGCGCCCGCCCTCCGCCACCACGTCCACCAGCAGCACCCGCGGCTGCTCAAGCTCTGCGGGGGAACAGGGGACGTCGGCAGAGGAACGCTGAGGAGTCGGCACCAGATACTGGGAAGTAGGAATCAGATACGGGGAACGCAGCACCAGATATTGACAACTCGGCACCTGATACTGGGAACTCAACACCTGATACTCAGAACTCAGCACCAAACACTGGGAAATCACCTTCAGACGTAAAAAAATGTCAAGGTCGTTAAGATACCAATCTCTTTGTAAGTTAATATCATGTTTAGTAAATCACTACCATGGTTAATAAGTCACGGTCATCATTCGTAACAGGCAGGGCCACTAAAGCCCAATAACAAGTGAAGCACTGTAATGGCTATTTATCCATTTCCATAGTTATCAATACTCTGGCACCCTGTTAGTGGTGAGCGAGCCGTGTTGGTGAGTGGCACGGCTCCCGCGTGTCGTTTGCCTGCCCGCCCGCGCGCACGCGTCGCTACCATCGCGGTAGCGGAACGTCTTGAGCACGGCCGTGACGCTTCCGTGAGCCTCGGCGGCCTGCAGCAGCGCACGCAGCTGGGTGAGGTTGCTGCTGCGAACGTGCGATTCCCTGCACTGGCCGCCCTGCACGCGCATCAGGAAGCGCATCTCCGCCTCGATCTTCGAGCGCAGCATGGCCAGGCCGGAGGGGCGGCCCCGAGCGACCAGTTTGGGGACTGGAGGACTCGGCATCTGGTCCTTGCACGGAGTTCCTGGTTCGGTCACAAGTGGATTTGGGACTTCGTGCTGCTTCTGAGGTCCTGGTTCAGTCTCTGGCGGACCTGGGACTGCCTCGTTGCACCCTGTTCCTGGTTCGGTCTCTAAAAATCTTCGGACCTCCTCGTTGTTTTGGGGTCCTGGTTCAGTCCCAAGGAGACCAGCGACTTCATCCTTGCTCAGAGGTCCTGATTTGGTCTGCACGGACCCTGTAAACCTATCTGGGAGGTGAGGTTCTGATTTGATCCCCAGTTCTTCCGTTCTCCGCAGGAGGTCGTGACCCAGCACCAGCAGCTCCTTCAGGCGGGCGGCTGTGGACATCGTGGGGCCAGGATCCAGGGTCAGAGATGGTCCAGCATTGAGTAGGGCCTGTGCAGATGGAAGGGTGGGACTTTAGATATCAGAGAGACCCAGGGGAAAACGGAGAGACAACAATAACCTCGCAGATGCAGAGAAAAATGTAGAGACAGAGATGCAGAGATATTTAGACTGGTGTATGAATTCAGACAGACAGAGACACGATGAATCGCACCAAGCAAAAATACACGGAGTAATACAAAAAGAGACAACCAGAAATAGAAGACAAAATACAGAAATTTAGAGATAAATAATAGACACACGCACAAAGAGATATACAAGAATGCAGAGATAAATATAGCGACAAGACGAAGTAAGGCAGTGGATACAGAGGCAGCCATATAAACAGACATTGCCGAGCAGACACACAGAGACACAGACAGATGAAGACAGAGACAGACAGATGCAGACACAGAGACAGATTCAGACATACAGAGACATGCAGACACAGAGACAGATGCAAACCCACAGAGACACAGACAAATGCAGAGACATGCAGACACACAGAGACAGATGCAGACAGATGCAGACACAGAGACACAGACAGATGCAGACAGAGAAAGACAGATGTAGACAGAGACAGATGCAGACACACAGACAGATGCAGACACACAGAGACAGATGCAGAGACAGATGCAGACAGATGCAGACAGAGAAAGACAAATGTAGACATAGACAGATGCAGACACACAGACAGATGCAGACACACAGACAGATGCAGACACACAGAGACAGATGCAGACAGAGACAGATGCAGACACAAGACAGATGCAGACACACAGAGACAGAGACACAGACAAATGCAGAGACATGCAGACACACAGAGACAGATGCAGACAGACAGATGTAGACACAGAGACACAGACAGATGCTGACACACAGAGACACAGACAGATGCAGACACAGAGACACAGACAGATGCTGACACACAGAGACACAGACAGATGCAGACACACAGAGACCAAGTTACTTCTGGGGGCCTCTACAGAATTCAGGGGCTTCCGTCAGGGAACGGGGTGTGTAGCTCATGTCTGTGTTGCAGGGTGTCAGAGTATCTGTGGGGCAGGGTCTGTGTATAATGCATGGCGCAGGGTGCTTGGTGCAAGGTGCCAGGGCATCTGCGGTGCGGGTTGTCTGTGATTCAGGGTGTCAAGTTTATGGTGCAGGGTAGTCTGTCTAAAGGTGCTGGGTGTCCAGGTCTGTAGTGAAGGATGCCATGTCTATGGTGCTGGGTGTCAGAGTGTCTGTGACGCTGGGTGTCCAGGTCTGTTGTGAAGGGTGCCAGGTCTATGGTGCTGGGTGTCAGAGTGTCTGTGACGCTGGGTGTCCAGGTCTGTAGTGAAGGGTGCCAGGGTTATGGTGCTGGGTGTCAGAGTGTCTGTGACGCTGGGTGTCCAGGTCTGTTGTGAAGGGTGCCAGGTCTATGGTGCTGGGTGTCAGAGTGTCTGTGACGCTGGGTGTCCAGGTCTGTTGTGAAGGGTGCCAGGTCTATGGTGCTGGGTGTGAAGTGATGCAGGGTGTGTCGGTCTGCGGTGCAAGGTATCATCATGTCTATGGAGCGGGGTGTCATCATGTATTTGGTGCGGGGTGTCATCATGTTTATGGAACGAGGTGTCAGAGTGTTCCGTGAAGCTGGGTGTCAGGATAATCTGTGGTGCAGGGTTGCCAACTGCAGTGCAACATCTTCGATGCAGCGTGTGGTGGTGGTGGTGGTGCAGGGTGTCAAGGCGTCCCGCGATGAGAACTGGAGGATTTGAAATACCTCTCGCCGACGTCGCCACTATCACTTTAGAGTCTGCTAACGGTGAAGCATAGCGGTGGATAGAACATGGTAGTTGCTGCTGCTGCTGATGGGAGGATGATGATGATGACAAAGAGCCGGCCCAGCCGCACACACTCGGCAGGCACGTGGTGGCCCTGTCACGGACCAGGAAGTAGATCGGTGACGTCGTCACGTCGAGTGGTTACGTCATCGCGTTCCCCCCCTCCTCCAACGCCCCGCCCCCAAACGCCCCGCCCCCCCAACCTCGTCCCTGCAACGTGTTCAGAAATCCACGTGGAGGCGCCATTTGAGTCCAGAGGCGCGGCTCGATGTGTGAGTTTGCAACGGGCTATGTATGTTCCGAATAGACTCGATTATCCGCGCTCATGACGGTGGTGGGGGAGGGGGAGCGGTCGTGAATGATTCAAAATAGCGGACAGTCCAAAAACGTCAAATTTTCCACGGATCTCTATGACAAATTCTAATGATCGAACGATCGATCGATGCGCGTGCTCAATGATAACTTTCCTGCTCCTGCGTAGAAGAGTCCGCCCACTAAGTGGATCATCACAGAGCCACGCCAATCAATATCAACCAAACTCCGCCCCACTGTTGTAGAGATATGCAACTACTGTACTGTAGAGGCGATCACGTGGATTTCGAAATAACCGAAGCAACATATTTGTTCGGTTTATGCAACGTGTGACTTATAATAAGTATTTCCAAGAATAACAATGTATAACTGGTTTTAGATTATTAATTTGGGCTGAAGTGAAAATCCATGACTTATTAATTAATATCAAAATCTTAGGTGTGCAGTTAATCCGCAAATTGGATAAACTGCACGCGGATAATCCAGAGTCTACTGTACTGTGATGAACTTCTTTCGCACCATACGTAGCCAACCATGCTAAGTGGAGGTGCGGGCTATGCCTTACCGATATACCGTCCTGAAGAACATCGCATTATGGAAAATAAATCGCGTTATCATAAATAATATATAATGTAGTGGTAAAGCACAGTCCGCGATAACATGTGAGATGTGTACGCAGCCTAGAAGCATCCAGCAGCATCCCGCCTTGTGTGATGGTACATCGAGGCAGCGATACAACCGCTTGTTGCTAATAGCGCGACGTAGTTCCGTTCACTCGATCGCGTTATATACAATTCACCATCCGCGTTATTAAAAATGCGTTTCCTAATATTTTCATTGCGTCATATCCAATTGCCGTTATGAAAACGCTTTATAGAACAAATTGTATATACATTACTGTACACGAATGGAAACTAAACCGCCGGATAAAATTCACAATCCATTGCTCCTCAGGTATAAGTACCAACTTTATTTTAAACTTCTCTTGAGTTATTAACGAATAGACAGGACACACATTTCAACGTCTTGTGGTTTTATGCATGCAGATCAATCCTTTTAAAACACCCAAGTTTACTTTTAGTACAGTAGGTTAAAAAACATTAATACAGTATTTAAGTTGTTCAATAACATCATCATCATCATCTTTACCGTCGTCGCTATTATGTTATTTCGAAGTAGAGGCGTTACACAGTAGTTTTACTAAAAACGATCTCGACGTTAGATTCAAAAACGACGCTCTTACAAGGAACAAGAACGACGACGACAACAACAACAGCAAGGCGACAACCGAATTATTGAGTTACGATTTGGGCGGAAAATTGTTACCGGCAACCCAGCAGCAGCACCACCACCAACAACAACAACCACCATTGGCCATCATCGTTCGTCAAACGACAGAGGCGAGGCTTCTTCCCCAGTTGCAATATGCCGCGTTCACATCCAATCCAGTCCCTTCAACCGCTCTCATCACCGCCATCATCGTCATCAGCAATGGCATTCCTTTGCGGTGGGTGGTAAAACGAACGCCACGTGGGGATGATGCCGTGGCATCTAGTTGCCGGGGGAAAAGGCTGTGGGGAAAAGGGTTTAGGAGTCGATGGGCTACGGAGTTGTTGGGAGTTAGGTGTTTACCGTTCGGGGTTGCAGTTAGGGATTGGGGATAGGGGGTTAGGAGGTTAATGGGTTGGAGCTGGGGATTAGGGCTTGGAGTTAGGGGTTTGTGGGGTGCAGCACTTGGGTTAGGGATCAGTGAGAGGGTTGGGGGTGGAGGTTTGGGGTCAGGAGTTGGGGTTCAGAGTTGGGGAACCGTAGTCCGATGACTTCACCACATACAAGTTGCACGACATCAAAGTCGCCTAGAACGCTACGCACATTTTATTAATACTCAACATTGGACTAGTTTAAAAAAAAACACACAACTCCAACAAAAATAAAGTCTATTGCGGGCAATAACGCTAGAAACACGCACGGTGCCACACTAAAGTCTAGCCCTCCTGTGTGGGGTGGTGGGGGACGAGGGGGGGGGTTAGCGTGCAGGCAGGGGGCGGGGCAGGGAGCAAGTCGTCGAACCGCGCCGGCCAATCACACGCGCGTGCGAGCGTAGCCTTGTCTCAGCACGTGGGTGGGTGCACTCTGTTTGGTCTGGGGTGCACCTTGCACTGAAATTGGGTGCACTTTGAATGTATGCTTTCTATGACGTTTAATTGATTTTGAATAATGTAACTATATTGTTGTGATTATAAGTTCACTACATGTGCTTGCCTCGAAGGACGTATTTGCCTCGAAGGGATTGTAAATTATTAACAAGGACGTATATCATTATTCATGCTGTTAGCAAGTAGTTGATTAAATTTTGAGTACTTATTTTCAAATCTGACATCTCGGACTGAGAGAGGGGGGCCAGGAGATGGCAGGACAGCCATCGGCTTGATCCACATAGGGCATGGTTCTGTCTGTGGATTAAATACGTTTGTGTGTTATCCCCTCGTGTGCATCAGTTTTCTCCACACACTCCTGTTGCCTTTCCACAAGTCACACACTCATCGATGGAATGGCCAAACATCCAGATGTAGCAGGAACCAGCGTAAAAAATGAGTCTTCGAACTCCGTCAGCCTTTCCCGTGTAAAAAGAATGGACTTCGTGTTTTGTGTGATTGGAAACGTGGGTCTACAGGTCACAATCTGCCTGAGAGATATAACTTTTTTTACCTTACCGAGGGCCGAAAAGGACTCTCAAACATCTTCAGTGGCTAGCCACGCATTTGACCGTGTGCTCAGAACTCCGTGAAAGGAAACAGGTGACCGATTAATAATAATTTCAACTTGTATCACGCCGCACAGGAGGAACAACAGCCAGACAGTGAACCAGCGCCAATATCGCTCCCACCACCCAAACTCTGCCACCCTCTCTATATACGAAGGTGTTATCGGTCAATTAATGAGTGTTTACACGTGGGAAGAAACCAAAGCACCCGAGGTGTCCGCGGTGACGGATAAAGATCGTTTTGTGGGCCGTTTCGAAGTGGCAGTAGCCCGCGTGTGGACGCGGACCTTACCCAAGCCGTGGGCCGCATCTGGCACGTGGGCCGCACGTTTCCCACCCCTGCTCGAGCCCGATCGCTACAATTATACCAATTACGAGGTCTCGTTACGCAATTAAACACTGTACTTCAGTACTAGACGATCAAAGAGCGACCCCTGAAACTTCCGTCGCTACGCCTACCCAGTGTTTCCGCGTCCCCCGGTGCTCTGACGGTTTTTTTTAATCTATTTTTGCTTCTGTAAAAAATATATATGCCTTAAAATGCTTTTAATTATAATTCCAATTTGTGCTTATCTTGGCGTCTCGAGACGAATGCATCACTTTGTGCTCCAGTACGGCCGTGGGGAAGGTGACATCAAACCGCCGATGTCACCTTCACTGGGCCTTGAATAAATTCCACAATAGGTGGCACACGTGTATTAATACGTGCCTTGTTAACAGCATTTGTCGAAATGACAACGCTCGATCCGAAACTTAAATCCTCACCGCTAAACGTGTTCTATATTTATGTGAAAAACTACCTTCAACGCGGTGGGATTTTTTGTGGGTGCTGTCATCAGTGACCCAGGTCTGAGACCATGAGGTCACCTCACTTGGGAAGCCGAAGCCGGTTTCATCACGGGCGGCAGCAACCCCCCGACAGATTCTAACCCGGGTATCCCTTTGGAACTTTTTCGGTGACTCTGACACGGCCGTTGTGAACCCTAAAAAGTATTTTTTGTTTACCATGTAAGGCCCACTGAGCTAATGGTTCTTTTTCAGAGGCGACCTGGCCACAAATGATAGCTTAACGAAGTGGTGTATCGTGTGGAAATGTATAGCGTTCAAATAAAGCGCATGTTTATTCTAATATCGAGGGAAAAAAACGGAGGGTCCGGAGAAAAATCCACGCTGCCACAGGGGAGAACATGCAAACTCCAAATATACAGGCATTAGGGTCGGGATCAAACCCACGACCTCCTGTATACCAGGCGAGGCAAATAACATCTCACCACCGCGGCGCCCTGTTTAACTATCATTGTCAATGTCACGGCAAGTGGTGGCCAGGTGTCTGCCACCAGCCCCGTGTGGCAGACAATGCTGTCGCGATCATGCAGTTCCCAGCCATTTATTTAACGTTGGCAGTCTAAACCCCACGGAACCCATCGCAGTGATGGCAGGACTACGGCAGAGTATACAACACACGGTCGGAAAGTTGTGAGTTTGATCCTGGATTAAGAGCTCGATTCAGCCCACCATTGTTATCCCTCTGGGGTCGATAAAATAGATACCACTTCATGGGCGGTCAACAGTGGTTGTCGTATATGGAGAGACTGGCTCCTGCCATAAAACTGTGGATTGGTGACAAAACTCTGGGGCAGGGGAAGAGAGATGTTTGGTGGTCGGAGAGGGGTCTTGGCGCAAGTGCTATGGTAAGTAAGCGAGAGATTGAGTGAGTGGGTGCGTGAGTAAACAAGCGAGTGATTGAGTGAGCAAGTCAGCGAGCGAGCGATTGAGTCGGTGAGTGAGTGCGTAAGCGTTTTTCTGCCCCCGTTTGTTCTGCCGATCTCTGGGTGCCCCGTGGGCATGGTGGGAGTTGGATGCCCGCTCCCTTCACAGCTTGGTGCAGTAATCCTCCCGTCGGTAGAGGCGCGAGACCCCAAAGTTGTACACCAGCACGGAGCAGTAGATGAGCTGCGGACACGTGGCACAGCATGGAGTAGTCAGAGGGTGAAGTCAGGGATCATGGTGGGGTCAAGGGCCACGGTTGATCATCATATTCAGCTGTGATCTACCCATTGCTGGATGAAGGCCTCCTCAAGCTGTCGATATCTCTCATGGTCTTGCGATGCAAAAACCCATCTTGAGCACCAGGACACGAAGTGATCCCATCACTCCATCTCTCTTGGGCGAGTTCCTTCCAACGACTGCAACTCCATTATTAGTCTCAACCACTGGCCATCGTCCCTTCTAGCGACGCATCCTGCCCAAGCCAAAGTGTTTGGAAAGTATTCCATAATAGACGCGTACGCACTATTTCTCCAAACTTGTTTCTCATTACCAAAGCCTGCGTGTGACAGCCTAGGTGTGTAGCTACTCGAGGGGTGAGCGATAGTGTAGCGGTCAGCGTACGGCACTATGAACCCGGCGACGCGAGTTCGATTCCCGCTCATGACCAACATTGGTGACGAATATCTGAACCAATCCTGGGCCTCCCCTAGCTCGACTCAGCCTCAAATAAGTACCTGGTGTGCTGTGTAAAGATTGCCACTAGGAAGACAAAAACGGCTGGACGTGTTGCTGGCCACACCCCCTTGCGTGGCCTACATAGGTGCTCATTAACAGCATTTGCCCCAACAGTCTGTTAAGGTTATACGGGGAATCTTTGTCTGTGTAGCTACTAGAGAAGAGCTAACATAACAGCCAATATTGTGATTCGTGATAGATTTCCCCGCCTTTTTAATTCTCGACTTCCTGAATCTTCCTGAAGATGCTCGATGCGGTTTCGAGTGACACGCCACGTATCCAAGTGCTGCTAATTTTAGTTGCGGGAATCGTCCTTTAATTTCAACCCGGTGCACCGCGTGGCAAAATTTTATTCGCTTGGCAGCGTGGGGTCGTGGAGAGGGAGGCGGGTCTTACGACAAAAATTTGGCCTGACCCAAAAATTCAAGGAAAGAGCCGCGTGCGTGTCTGGGCCACGTCTTTCTTTACGACCGCCGGGGTGACGGCACGAAGGTGGTGCCCGGGAGTTGTTGACGCGCCGCACTCACCATGGACAGCACGGTGAGTGCTGCTCCCGCGCTCGCTGCCGCGTACAGGTAGAAGGCGGTCGTGAACTGCGGGGGGTTGGCGCAGGGGGGAGGAGGGTGGGGGCCGGGGTCAGGAAAGGGGTTACAGAGAGGGGTTTCAACGGTTATGACTGCTCGATTGCGTCTGGTCACTGAGCACCCGCCCATACTGGACATCTGTAAAAAAAAGAGCTTCATAGCTCATTGGATTCATCCGGTTAAAATAAAGTATCTGATTCGGACTCGGGTCTAGAACGTCACAAGCTCGTATTCAATGACGCGGTTGCGAGATTTGGAGTATGTCTCTCCCCCGTGGTCGCGTGGATTTTTCTCCGGTTACTCCGGTTTCCGCCTCCACGTTTATAATCAACGTTACGCATTTAGGGTATTTGGCTGCTATAAATGTCCACGTGATAAGCAACTTGATCGAGCTATCATTTGTGGCCTGGTCGCATTTGAAAAAAAGAGCTACATAGCTCAGTGGGATGTGCCTGGTTAAAAAAAAAAATAGTTGAGTATCTTCTTTGGTTCTTTCGGTAAAGTCACGTAGAATGAGAATAAAATAATAAATTGATAAAATAAAATAACACAATAATAATATTTTATCAATTTATTATTTTATTCTCATTCTACGTGACTTTACCGAAAGAACCAAAGAAGATGAATCATTGCAGTCACGAAAGCTTTAAATCGAAATAGTTGAGTAGTTGAATATATTTGTAATTGCCGACAATTGTTTTTTTATTTTGTTCGAAATGCGTCAAAGTGGCAGGGAGAGAGAGAGAGAGAGAGGTTTTCACTGCTCGGTCGAGCATCACCGAGGTTCCTCATCTCCCGCGTGAATGCCACGATGGGTATCGCTGCAGCCGGCCTCACCTCGGAGCTGTCGCACATCTCACTCAGCGGCGCGTCGCACAGCACCCCCGCGGTCTCGTTCCACGGGATGACGCCTGCTCGCTCACGCGCACACGCACGTTGGGATGGAGATGCGTGCATGCGTGTGTGTGTGTGCGCGTGCGGTCGTGTGCAGTGTTGCGTGTGCACAGGGTCGTGCTCGACATTGTGCGTGAAGGTATTTGTATGCATGCATGCGGAGTTTTGTGTGTGTGTGTGTAAGTGCGTGGAATCGTGTGTTGGTTTGTATATGTGCATTGTGTGTGTATGTATGTGCGTGCGATTGTGTTTGGCGGGTTTTGTTTGTTTGCAAAATTGTGAGTGTTGTGCGGTGTACACGGAGGAGTTTCGTGTGTGTTTGTGTACATATTCCGGTGTTGTGTGTGTAATGTTGCGTGTGCGCAGTTGTGTGCGTGTAAGTGCAGAGGTTATGTGTGTAGGGTTGTGTATGCCGGTTGTGTGCATGGTGGGTGAAGTTGTGTGTGCGTTAGTATGCAGTGCGTGTGAGTTCCCAGGGTTCACAAGGACAGGACGGAAGAAGCAAAGCGACAGAGTAGACTTAGACAACAGAATCAAAACACAGGGCAGCACGGGCGGAGGGACAAAGACAAAGATCCCCCGTATAGCCTTAACAGACTGTAGGGGCAAGTGCTGTTAGCGAGCACCTATGAAGGCCGGAATGGTACATGAGGGGGTGGGTGGCCAGCACCACGCCCGACCGCCTTTTTTCTCCCCAGTAGCGATCTTTACACACTGCACCAGGTACTCATTTGAGTCTGAGTCGACCTAGGGGAGGCCCATTACCGGTTCAGATAATCGTTACTGGTGTTGGCCGTGAGCGGTAATCGAACCCGGGTCGCCGGGTTCATAGCGCAGCGCGCTAACCGCTACACGACCGCTCGCCACACACACACGCACATGTGGAGAGCGGCATTAGCATTGCGACAGAGATGTGGGGCAAGAGTCGTGACGGTTCAGGAGAGAGTGAGTGACGATGGCTGGTAAAGTGAAGGCGAGCGCGTGTTGGTGGCAGTGGCGAAGGTGGAGGTATGCATTGCAGGGAGTGGAGCAGGGAAGAGGAGGAGTAAGGAGGTGCAAGCACGACGATTGACGAGCGACATTGCGAAATGGGACACCGTTACACATCCGCCGCCGTAAAGAGCTCGATTTAGACGCTGGGGCTCGTGATGCCAAACCGAGGCACCCGTGAGATTAGTTGCCAAAACAGGAAGATTGGGGGACATGTCGCACGGCCATCGTTTGAAGCCTGCGTTTAAAATCATCTGTCAGTGGGGTCAGCTCGCTCCTCCGCGATTGATTTAAAAATTATCGTCGTAAAGTACGGGGCGAGCCAACAGTAACGTCCGTTATTTTTAGAGAGACTCTTGACTGTCCATAAAAATTTGGAATTTCCGCCCCTGGCTGTGGATCGCCACCCACGCCGGAGTGATAATTTATTTAAGTTTTGGTAAGAGTTCGCTGGCAACAGAAGTTTATTCTTGAAGAGAAATCTGAATTATTTATACAAATACATATATACAAATATTTAACAGCAAACAATTTCTAGAGAGTAAAATAATAAAAACAGACGTATACAGAATAGAAAACTTTGTAACAGCTTGAAGTTTTAATGACCTTGGCTTCACAAAGAATTTGATTCACAGGCATACCCAATACATTGAATCTGTGCGTGGACTGAGCCTATGGCTGTACTGCCACCTTACAGGCACATAGATCAGATCGGATTAAAATACAGAGTAAGCTGAATGATTATAGACATCCTTACGAGGATGCTTCCAAAAATAGAATTTCAAAGTCAAAGAAGCGACATTTCACTTCACGTGGGACAAAACCATGGGAGCAAGGGAAAACCCACAATGCATTCAAGCAGGGAGCACTCAAAAACCCTGCACAGATTGATTTAACAATCCATTGCTATACTGCCATCTCGTGTGGCTCGGCTACGAGGCTTTCCTGGGTCGAATGAAGGGCAAGGCCGTTGCTGTATGTACTGTATGTACGTTGGACTTCTTTCGCACCGTACGTAGCCAACCGTGCTGATCGGAGGTGCGAATACGAGACTGAACGACGGGGGGGAAGGGAAAAACAGCGGCAAGGAGAGGAGGTGGCGCCCATCCTCACCGAACTGGCGCAAGTCGACGCAGACGCGGCTTGGGGGCGGCGGGGCGGGGGACCCGGCCGGGGGGGCCACCGAGTGGCAGGCGGAGAGCACGGAGAAGGCCATGTAGACGGGCAGGGCCGAGAGGCCGAACACTCCGAGCCACGCGAGCGCCAGCACGAAGGTCAGCAAGATGAACTTTGGCGCGCGCACGCACGCACAAAGACAAAGATCCCCCCCGTTTAGTCTTAATAGACTGTTGGGGCAAGTGCTGTTGGCGAGCACCTATGAAGGTTTGAGGACTTTATGTTTTCATGGGTTTCAAATCCACTCTTATAGTGTCATCATTACCACCGTCATCGCTGGTGATTACAACCAACGTTTTCAGGCGATTTGCAGAATTGTGAAGTCTTCGTACTCAGATTGTAAATGTTGTGAGTTTACTCTCAAACACACCGGTGTGCTGAACTAGTAATTAATTTGCTCGTTTTATTTACGTGACAAACTTTACTAATCGGCTGTCGGGTGGTGGTGGGTTAACGACACATTTATATTTACGCGATATAACCCAGAAAAAAAACCTTTATTATGCCTATGTGTTAAACCTTCACTTTCAGAGGGTGGCCACTTTCGCCGTTGAGACGTCGGTGTGAGGGCCGCCACACATTTTAAACCATTCGGTGTGGACAGCAGCACGATGACGGGGGGGGGGGGGGTGTTTTCATATTCGTGCATTGTCGGGGACCGCATTAAAGGCCACCTGGGACCGCCAGTGGCCTGCGGTCCTTGCAATGAAGAACACTGGGTGAAATATAGATGGGGGAGTGGGTGGGGGGGGGTTAGGCGTTCAGTACCCAGCCGCTGACACAGGTGGCGCACGCGGAGGCGCCGCTACCCCCGCTGTAGGAGCGGCGGCGAGCGCGCGTGGAGGCGGCGCCCTCGCACAGCAGCACGGCGCCGTAGAGGCAGAAGGCCCCGGCCAGGCCGTACAGCACGTAACGCAGCACGTCCATCCTGCGGCGGGACACACGCACAGCGCGCATCACGACGTGGGACGCGCGATGCGCGGGCGTCGCAGCAGATGGGCGGCGGCGGTGGCGGCGGCGGGGCCCGTGGTGGTTGGGGGTGGCTACGTTGCTTGGGGGAGCGGTAGTGTAGCGGTTAGTGCGCTGCGCTACCCGAGTTCGGTTCTCGCTCACTGCTGCCGACACCAGTGGCGATTATCTGAACTGGTCCTGGGCCACCCCTAGGTTCACTCTGCCTCAAATGAGTACCTGGTACGATGCGTAAACATTGTCACTGGGGAGACAAAGGCGGTCGGGCGTGCTGCTACCCACCCACCCCAGTGCCGCAAGTGGAGCAATCGCTGTCCGTTTATTCCATCTGAACAGGGAGATAGAGCGTTGCCCCCTCGCACGCATGGGTTTTTTTCCGGGTGCTCCGGTGCCCTCCCACTAGTAAAATAAACACCATTAATTGGCTGAAAACATCTTACAAGAAAATAAATCCTATGAGTCGGCGTGGCTTTCCCTGGAAAAATAAGTAAATCATGATGATTACATCACGATACCAGATTCATAGCGCGGGCGGCATCGCGGCCTTGTGGTAGCGCGTTCACAGCTTGTTGCAGAGGTTAACGGTTTGAATTGATTCTTAATGCGGTGCGTATTAGCCACGATAATACTACGTGGCATTCAAACACCGTGGACTTTCAAGATCCCGTGACGTCATTCACAAGAGTGTGCTAACGTCATGGTGAAAATTTGCTATATTTGAAAATTAACACCGCAAATGACTCATTTGAGATTATACGTGGCAGCAATCATCGCCCCCTACTCGCGAACAATACCCCGGGTCACTCTTGCAAATGAGACTCATTCTGGTCTCTTGAGTTCGCACCTGGTTAAATAAACTTAACTTGAAACAACATCACAAGAGACAGCACACCAAGTTACATCGTACACTTTTCCGCAGCACTATTTGCGATGTCATCATGACGCACTATCATCATCATCCAGGAAAGTCACTTTTCACCATGATCATGTATCATCACCACCAACAACACTACCACCCTGTCCATGATGCGCCACCACCATGATCACCACAACCCCTTCCGCCCCTACACAACGAGGGGTGTCGCGATGGTGAGATGTTAACTACCTTGCCTGGTATACAGGGGGTTGCAGGTTCGACCTTGATGCCTGCTGTATATTTGAAGTTTGCATATTCTCCCCGTGGTGGAGTGGATTTTTCCCCACCGTTTTTTTTTATCTGATTCTCCGTGTTTTCCCCTCCACATTCAAAAACATGCATCTAGAGTATTTGGTCGCGATAGAATTCCACGTGATAAGCCACTTCGTTAGTTATCATTTGTGGCCAGGTGACTTCCGAAAAATAACTATATAGCTCAGCGGGCCTTCATCATCATCAGTGGGCCTTACGCCTTATCTAGTAAAATAGAAAATAGTTTATAGTTTACAACCGCTGCTCTCACAGTTTTCCGATCCCTCTCCGCTCCCCATCCTCCCCTCCGTCGTCCGTGGGGTAGGCGAAGCGGTGGCGGAGCAGTTCCTCGGTGGTACCGAGGGCCTGGTGGCCCGCTCCGCAGAATAGCCCCACGCCGGCCAGGCACACGACGGTGGCGAGCAGCGAGCCGCACGGCGTGGCACCCACGCAGCGCGAGCAGCGGCGTCGGCACCCTGCGCACACATAAAAGGGAAAAAGTTGCCCCCCACCCTGCATCATGAGGGCACCGCGGTGGCTAGGAGATGTTAACTTCCTCGCCTAGCATACATGAGGTCGTGGGTTCGATCCTGACCCTGACGATGCCTGCTGCTGTATATTTGGAGTTGGCATTTTCTCCCCATGGTCACGTGGATTTGCTCCTCTAGTTTTTCCCTCCCCATTTATAAAAAAAAAAACAGATCCACATAAGTCACTTTGTTGAGCTATCATTTGTGGCCAGGTCGCTTCTGAAAAACAGCTATATAGCTCAGTGGGCCTTACCTGGTAAAATAAAAAATTGTCTTAGTAGTTATAGTGACGTGGATTCCCACCTGCCCTGCCTCTACCCTCGCCTGGGACTGTTCTTGCTGTTCTTTTGCTGCCATGCCCAAGCTTGGGAATTGATGTGTGGGCCTTACCTGTTAAAATATTTTCTTTTACTGAACGTATATGGAATGCTGGACATCTGTGAAAAAGAGCTTTGTAGCTCATCGAATTCTTCCAGTATGAATACATATTTTTATTCTGCATCACGCGCTTTCAGATGCGCTTCAGCGGCCGTCTGGAACGCTCTTCCTTTTGAAATTTGGAAGTCACTGGGAGCTGTGCACTTTTCAGTTATCTAAATATAAAACGAATTTATTTAGAACTGCTTTTTGTGTTTAGTTTTTTTGTCCCCCCCCCCCCCCCCCCCGCATCTCCGATTAACACGGTTGGCTATGTACAGTGCAAACAAGTTCAACATACACACACGCATAGTAGCCTCGACAGACTTTTGGGGCTAGTGACATGCACGAGTAGCATCTGTGAAGGCCGGCTGCATGGCACACGAGAGCGGTGGTGTGGCCAGCACCATGCCCGATGTAACCTTGTCTTCAGAGTGGTGATGTTTACACATCGCATCAAGTACTCATTTGAGGCTGAGTCGACCTAGGGGAGGCCCACGACTGTGAGATGTGACAATTCAACGTGGATCACCGATAGAGAGACCTCCACCTAGTCACCCCTCTACTCAACCCCCTGGTCCCAACAGCCTCTTCGATTCCTCATGCCAGCAGCGTAGAAGATCTGCATTTGGTTCTCCGGTCATGAGCACTCACGGCCTTGCCACTGTCGAACCACCTTCCACGTGGACCATCTTTCAGTTCCGCACGGATGGATGTAGCTAGCTCTGGGATGGAATTCTGCGCGCAAGCTGTTCTCAACAATCCCATCGTTGTGCGTGCGGAGCCTGAGCCTGCATCGTCATTGCTGAAACTCCACTCGCTCCCTTTCTTCAGAGCCCACGGCGATACTAATGAACCTTCAATCTGTCCCCCAACAACAAGGCACAATAGGAAGTTCGAGTGGCGATTTGTTGATTTTTGTTCCTGTCTCAAGAAACTGCCATCATTACCTTTCTGGCAGAAGGTGGTGGTGTGGGGGGGACCTGGAGAATCCAGATTATTGAATCTTATCTTTGGCAACAAACTGTCTGACACTGCACAGTTAGAGATGCAAGTTTCATCGGAGGCCATAATTGGGAGACAAAAAATGCAATGCCTTCACGAGGCACGAAAACAATGTTAATCTGTTTGCTTCCTCCATTAACACTTTTGGAAACCCAACCGGGCGCGCGTAATTTCCAAAATTTCAACTTGTCACGGGTTATTAATTGAACTGTTTCCCGTACGTGTCGCTGCGACTCCTGATATGTGCATCATTCCCGCTCGCCTGTCATCTAAAATTAACCCCACTGGCTGCACGAGCGAGCCACGGCTGGTGCCTAAGCATCAATTGGCCAGCCACCAATTATGTCGTAAACGAACACGCTCGCATCCAGTGCCGGATTATTTGAGTAGCAAAAGTAGCTACATGTGTAGTAGCTACTACACATGCTACGGGCCCCGCACTTTCAAGGGCCCCGCGCTAAACGCTTTCAAGCTATCAATTCCGGTTTCAGTGATTCTGCACTTGCTCTATTACTATAGCACTATACCGCCTTCAACTTTTATATGAACGACTGGCTGTTTAAGGCTAGCGATTTGTCGTGTTATCTGGCTGTGTAGCAAATGAAAAAATACAATTACTTTACCATGCAAGTAAAAAAAAAATTGTGTTTTAATATTTGCGTGTGTGTGTGTTTTTTTATTATTATTTAGAGCCCCCTTTATAACGTATCCTACAGGCCCCAGCACTAGCTTCATCCGGCACGGCTCGCTGATTTTTCTTTTTTGTATCCGTTGCAAAGGGCGCCGCCAACTCTCTGATTCACTGTGTAACAAAAAACTAAACAAAAAATGTCTGTTCCTGGGTACTAAGTGTTATTTTCTAATTGCTTATGCCTCAAAAGTACTGAAAATGACTGTTATTCCACACAAACTTTGCTTTTGTGACCAGGACACAAAAGCAAAGTTAATCGTTAATCCACTCCATTAATAACAGTGTGGAACAAATGTGTTTTTTTTTGTTCCTGGGTAGTAAGTGTCATTTCCTAACAGGGACAGTGATATTTTTAAAAATGTACCTATTTTCAATGAGAAAACGTGGTGTGCATTTGTGTCATTCCTACACGTAAAGTCCTGGTCACAAAAGCAAAGTTTGTGGGGGATAATAATAATAGCCATTTTCTAAACTTTTGAGGCATAGGCAATTAGAAAATAACACTTTACTACCCAGGAACAAAAATCGTGTTACAAAGTGTAACGATTCACCTGGCGTCCACCATTGCAAGCACGCGTGTTGCACCAGGGTCATTCCCCCCATCGACTGCGTTAGTGCTCAATGAAAGGGGACATTGCCCGAAACGTCGGCTATTATGTTTCCTTTTAAGGCCACGGTAGTGTTATTGATGAACGGGTTGAATGTTTTGTTTGTTGTTAGTTACGCCCCAGAATAATGCTGTTGTCCGAGCAATGTAATCCTTCAGACGCGACACTGTGTGAGTGAAATGTGAGGTAGACATCCATCAACCTGAAGTTCAATGAATTTCTCTCCAGTCTCTAAGCCTGTGGGGTCCGCGTTAACTGAAGCTTTGCATTTTAACTGTACCGTTACTTTGAACTACACTACTGTTCAAACACTCGGTGCTGCTGTGCAAAAAAAGACGTGGTCTTACAAACCACAGAAAGTTTATCAGTGAGAATCGTGAAAAAAACGATACTCTGTCTAAAAAAAAAGAAGTGCTTTTTACTATTCCGAAAAAACCCAACAAAGATTATAGATTGTGGTTTAGCGGAATTACTGCACTTTATATTCAATATTGAATGCCCCCTCATAGTCTACAGGGATCACGTAGCCCGCTCCTTCACATTACACACAAAAAATCACCTCAACACATTACACACAAAATCACCTCAACACATTACACACAAAACACCACAACACATGACACACAACACATTACACACAACAAAACACTTCAACACATTACACAAAACACCACAACACATTACACACAACACATTACACACAACAAATCACCTCAACACATTACACACAAATCACCTCAACACATTACACACAACAAATCACCTCAAGACATTACACACAACAAATCACCTCAACACATTACACACAACAAAACACCTCAACACATTACACACAAAATCACCTCAACACATTACACACAAAACACCTCAACACATTACACACAAAACACCTCAACACATTACACACAAAATCACCTCAACACATTACACACAAAACACCTCAACACATTACACACAAAACACCACAACACATGACACACAACACATTACACACAACAAAACACTTCAACACATTACACAAAACACCACAACACATTACACACAACACATTACACACAACAAATCACCTCAACACATTACACACAAATCACCTCAACACATTACACACAACAAATCACCTCAAGACATTACACACAACAAATCACCTCAACACATTACACACAACAAAACACCTCAACACATTACACACAAAATCACCTCAACACATTACACACAAAACACCTCAACACATTACACACAAAACACCTCAACACATTACACACAAAATCACCTCAACACATTACACACAAAACACCTCAACACATTACACACAAAACACCTCGACACATGACACACAACACATTACACACAACAAAACACTTCAACACATTACACAAAACACCTCAACACATTACACACAACACATTACACACAACACATTACACACAACAAATCACCTCAACACATTACACACAACAAAACACCTCAACACATTACAAACAATTAATCACCTCAACACATTACACACAACAAAACACCACAACACATTACACACAATAAATCACCTCAACACATTACACAACAAAACACCTCAACACATTACACACAACAAAACACCTCAACACATGATACCAAACAAAACACCTCAACATTACACACAACAAATCACCTCAACACATTACACACAACACATTACACACAAAAAATCACCTCAACACATTACGCAACAAAATACCTCAACACATTACACACAACAAATCACCTCAACACATGACACTCAACAAAACACCTCAACACATTACACACAACACATTACACACAACAAATCACCTCAACACATGACACACAACACATTACACAACAAAACACCTCAACACATTACACACAACAAAACACCTCAACACATGACACACAACACATTACACACAACAAATCACCTCAACACATGACACACAACAAAACACCTCAACACATTACACACAACACATTACACACAAATCACCTCAACACATTACACACAACAAAACACCTCAACACATGACACACAACAAATCACCTCAACACATTACACACAAATCACCTCAACACATTACACACAAAACACCTCAACACATTACACACAACAAAACACCTCAACACATGACACACAACAAATCACCACAACACATTACACACAACAAATCACCTCAACACATTACACACAACAAAACACCTCAACACATTACACACAACAAATCACCACAATA